CTCAACTAATGGCTTATTACTTGTAGAATAAGGCATCAATAAGTGTTGTATAATGCCTAATAAAGAGCCATTATACTGCTAATATGCATGTTAATTAACAACTAGTTGATGGTTAATTTGTGTACCTTAATATAAAGTGTTACCTTAACTTTATACAAATGATCAGATTTCAATACTTGGCCACAAACACAACTCAAAGACAACAAGCCTGTAGCCTCAGAATCTGATCAGAAACACCTGCTGGGACTTCCACCTCGAGATGATGGAGCCATTAAAGTCAATAGTTGGCCGAAAACTGTAAAACCAGGTATTGGTGCTTTCATGGCAGGATTGAAGCATCTTTGAGTTTCTCAACAAAACCTTCACTCGTCTGTTTGCTAATGCCAGATTATGTTACTGCGCGACAGGAATTGAAGCCGGTACTTCACCTGTTTAGAGAGAGTGGTTTGAGCTTCAAAGTAGAGTACACACACCTCTCCAAACTGCAAACAGAGACTACCTGACACCACTAATGAGGTCCTTCCAAATCAGGAAGACACTGCAAGCAGAAGCAAGGAGTGTGTGGGTCCAATAATCCCAAGCAGCTGCTTTCTGTGACAGACAAGCAATGGACACAATGCCGTTTAAACTCCACAAAGATGATTTAGACAGCAACATGGCCACTAAGTCAGTATACTTTCCAAAACTTAAAAAATTATTTAAAAAAAGACTTTTGAGCATTCCAGTTAGGGAATTCAGAACACGAGGAAACTTGTTCAGGTCGCATGATGCCACAGAACTGTCATCCAGCTTTCAAACTCCACCTGGAATCTCTAGATGAATGGAACAAATTAAATATAAGGTTTCAAACATGTTTCTATTTGCTTTCAGCCATAGATTTCTTCAGAAACTCACAAATGTATAAAAACTGCTACGTGGGCTTCACCTTCACAAAATGTGTATTGTATTATCCCAAAACACAAATGTCTTTGCCAACTTTAAACAGGCTAGAGAAAGAAATCAAATGTAACTCAAGACCAACAACAGACACTGAAACAGTGTTACTAGCCTGATGATGAATGCAAGAAGGATTTAGCATTAGCAAAGCATTGAGAATACATCATAGTAACTCACTCTTCAGTTCAACACAACATTTATTTGATTTGAAACACATGTGAACAACACCAGCCCGCAGCTCCTTCTTCAACCACTGCCTGGTTTTTTTTCTGTTGACACAGCAGCTCAGTGGTGCATTGATCTAGGCAACGGCGTGGCCTCAAAAGGAAGTCATCACCATGTCACCAGATGGCAGCTATGCCGTCATCTGGTGACATCACACCACCAGAGTCCAGACCCGAGGGGAATGAGAGGTGGCAGAAGTACAATCTTTAGAAAGGGCAGCTGCTGTTGTATCAGTAACCTATCTCTATCTACCATATATAAATCAATGTTTGTCATTATAACAAGGGAAGGCTCCTTCCCAATGTTGCCCGTCTAATTGCTAATTTCGGACTTATCGGAAATATAGTCCAAACTGTCCAATCTATGTATTCGAACTCTGTGTTAGAGAAGCTGTGATCACACACGTCGACACCTGTGTCACTGGGCCTTCAGGGAATAGCTGGCTTCACACCTACATTGCACCTGGGAACATGATATGTGTGAGCTTGTTAATGGTTTCAGGTGGTCTAACCTTCTACGTCCAACATATACTGGGTCAAATGACTTTGACATTCCCTCCAATAATGCAATTCTTTTGCTGTTGTTTATCCTTGTTGAAGGTTTTTGTTTATTTACATGTATCTAGCTCTCAAAAGACTTTGCTATTCTGTTGCTCATGAATACATAACACAAAATTGCTTTTTGTGTGAAAAAAAGGACGTCACAGGGTAAGGAAATGACCTTGGACAGAGCATCAAAAAAGGCTAAGAAGACCAACAATAGAGGACTGGGTGTTTAGTAAACACAGACTGAATGTTAGACCTGCTGGACAAGAGCTGATTCTATCACAAGCCAGCTGTTCATTTTATGTTTGTCTGTTTTTTTATATTGTCTAAACTACAAAAAGTGCCCATAGGCGGTTTATTGTAAGTCTATCGTAAAAAGTAACTGGAGCTTTAGGTTTTCTGTAAAGTATAAGGGAGCTACTATGAGTTAACAATATTGAAAATCTTAGTTAGCAATTTACAGCAGGACATCAAAATATACATTTTGAGGTAATAAAATAATGAACAGCCACTACACTAGAAAGAGTGGAGCAGTATATAGATAGCAGGTGAATACAGAATGAGGTTTTGCTTAAGTTTAACCTCAGATATAACCCAACGATTATGAGCAATTCAACTCACTTGCCCTCTCCTCCCTCACAGAACTCATTCACCCGATCCTTTCCTCTCACATGGCTCTGCAAATCGCTGCTCATGATATGCAAAGGTAGTTTGTTTGGGCTCTCGCTTTGTCTACTCTCTGTCTGCGACTACACATTGCAGTTTGTCGTTGTGATTTTGAAATATCTTTCATTCCCAGCACTGGTAGTAGCAACAAACTGCTTAAGATAAAAGATGTGACCACTCACTTGTTGTAATTTTACAGTACGGGTATACAGGTCAAGGCATCTATAATAAAAAATGTAATACAAGATTTATTGTATGGCAATTTATCCATCAAGAACAAAGGGTTTAGTAAACCAAGCTCATAAACTAAAAGTGGTAGTAAACTTAATTTCTCGAAAGCTTATCATCTGAGTTTCCCTGCTTGACCTTACATGTGATTAACAGTTATTGGATCTGCTTTAGATTCTTATCTCGGTCAAGATCTAGCCCAACACAAACTAATTCCTATAATAACATAAAACAAATGACCCTAAAACAGGAAAAGGAGGGTCTGCAGCTTTCACACACGGTTAAGCCGACTGCAGTGCTATAACAATTCCCTCTGGGGAAGAGGAATGAGGGCAAGCGTGGCAAACGCTCGGTTGAAACCATTTGACAGCTAAATTATGCATCGTCACATATGGCAGGATAGAATCTTGGTGCAACTGAGGTTGAAACAGTTAATGATTGGCCTTCAAGGAGACTGCATGAGGGCATAGAGTTTCTAAAGCAACACATGGCAGGCATTTGGGCTTCCATGTTGTTTGAGCAAATATTGTGTCCACAGCTTTGGATTGTTTTGGTATTTTAAATGATTATATCTTATGTAAATAGTGCATAATGAGTAAAGACTGAAAAAGCCTGAGAACACAGCTGGTTCCCTTCTGTAGTCCCAAACAACACAACACACACTGCCTGCAACAAATAATGTAAACTAATAACTAAACAATAATAATTGTACCGAAATCTGTCCTCGTTTCTGATGCATTTTTGTTATCTCACCACAGATGGAATATATTGCTTAGAGTAAAGTTAATGCTTGTTTCTTGTCCCTGCAATTGAGATAATAATGTTCTTTTCAAGCATCTGTATTCTTTAATGGTGCACTTGGATGCAATAATATACAATACTAAAAGCCATAAAAAAAAAGAAACGTAAAACTGGCAAGTATCTTCATTTCGTTTTTTAGGAAAAATCCTCGCTCAGTTCTAAAAAAGTTTGACAAATAAAATGCTTAAAACGCCACTGCAATTCTAACAAAGTAGATGAAAGGGTGCTAAATATTGGACTATACGTGGCAACCCTATTGGACAGGGAACCAAACTGCCAGTCTGAAGTCAGCCGCTGTTGTGAAACCCAACAATGGTCATGGTCCAGTCAAGGTCTTATCTCCTATATCTCCTATATCTCCTATATCTCCTATATCTCCTATATCTCCTATATCTCCTATATATCTCTCTCTCTCTCTCTCTCTCTCTCTCTCTGAGAGCAAAGCAGCCGTAGCTGTATGGGCTCAGCTGGACTCTCGCAGGTGATATCAAATGTCAGAGCAGCGGACTGGGCTACAGCTGAGGCTCTGCTTTCTGTCTGTGTGTCTGCAGGTTGACTGACTGGGGCAATATGCTAATGTGTAAAATTAAACTGCTGACTGATGATTGGGCGATAAGACTGAATAATTACTAATTCAAAGTCCAATGATGTAGCATAAGTCTTAAGACCACCTCTCCTGCTCATCCCCGCATCACCCGCGTCATTGCTGATGCGTTTCGCCAACAACAACAACAACAACAATGGCGGATCCCAGGGTTGCGTTCGTGCTCCAGACGCTACTGACCATGATACAGATTTTTGTGCAAAATCTACAGCTCCTCTACCACAACCATCAGCAACAATAATAATATAATATAATAATAATAATCGGTCTTCTTCGCTGCTTTTGGTGTATTTTGTGGCGGAAGTACAGCGCCAATTACAGGCCCGGCATATGTACTACAGCGTCTCCAGCGTTTGAGCGTTTTCGTGTGGACGGACACGTTTCTTGAGCAACTTCTGTGGAAGCAGACGATGTTTATTTTATCACTCAAATATAATTATCTGCATTTTAAGTATGAAAGATGATACACTGTTAGGATAAAATATAATTCACTCACATGCAGTAGAAAAGGCAATCCCAACAAACTGGAAATGTCTCCCAGGAAACCGCTGCTAAATGTATCAAATATGTCCGTTTCAGTTGACTTCTCATGTTTTATTTCATCACTGCAGGCCTCAAGAGTTTAGGTCTTTGCCGTGTGGTTAACGCGGCGGAGCTGGATAAGTGCTCAGTGAGAAGGGTCTCACTGAACTAATGCATGGCTAGCATCATGTTAACACTTACAGTAAATCAGCCATGAACTCAGGGGGGAATGTAATCCCCAGTATGGTGCAGACATCAGTGCTGGTATTTTGTTTAATTGAGCACAAAACCAAAAGTAATGTTCTGTAAAAGAGATTTGGTAATTTGTCTGCATAGTATGAGAAATGTTTTCACAGTTAATCCTGTTAACATTTATGGTCTACAGCTTCAGAGTTAAATTACAAAATGATTGGGGTTTTTGCTGAGCAGCGGGAAGAGCACCAAACATGTGGGAAAATGTCCAAATATGTTACCTTGGCAATCGGGTGGCCACCGGAAGAAGCTTTGACGGCTCCTCGGCTGCCCTCGGTCTCGTAGTGCGCTCGGTGGTGGGCTTTGGGTTGCACTTCTATCTTCAATTCATACTGGCCAAACTGGCTCGGTAGCGGCCAGTCCAGAGGAGGCAGTGAGGAGGTCCTGAGGAGAGAAAACCAAAGCAAACACAAAGAGGGAAAGTAGATTAGACCTTTGAACCGATACATACAAGGCTTTTGTAAAAGATGTATTAAAAGTAAAAAGGGAAGATGTGTTTGGTTGTTTAAAAAGATACTCTTCAAAGATAAATAGGGTGTTTGTGAAAGTTAGTTCATGTACAGTAAGCGTTATGGACAAATATGAGAAATTGGTCTCAGTCTTTTTCTCCAGATTTGTCCACCCGTCATTTTTGTTTCAGAATTTTTGAAATATATATAACTTCTGAAAAATGGGTCCAAAATATACTTGGTGACTCTAAGGAGAAAGGATCGGCTTATCCAGGTTAACGTTCACTTCTCCCATTGGAGGTAATATATTCAGACCTGGCGTTAGTCTCCTAAAGGGGCGTGTTCATGGCAAAGATACAGGACATTGGCTCTCAGTCCGGTGTCTCTTCCTTAAAACAAATTTGGTTGTAGTATTTGCTTGAAAAAAATTGCCCTGAAGCTTAAAGCTGAGAGCATGACATGTAATCAATGATGAAAAAATATGCCTTAACAGAAAAGGTTTGCCTCATTTCAAAATCAGTTTTAGTCATTTATGTGACATTAAAGTGTAGGGTCAAGCCAGACAACCTCTCTTTCAACTTTGCGGCTGTTACAGCAATCTGAAAAGGTTAAAATGTGGTGTTCCCCCTTCGTGGCCCGAGACAGCATAATAGGTGTGAAATGTGTGAATAACATGCTCAGCCCCAGCAGACGGTGAATCACTGGAGAGCTCACATACATTAATCCTATCCTTAAACACAGCACTGGTAATAGGTCAGGTTAAGACTCTAAGGTTGAATCATTTACTGCTGGGTTTTTCTTTCTTTGTGAGTCTTCTGTGTGGGTCAGGATGAGAGTGTGTGTCAGTGACAGTGACTAAATTGCTCTGTGTGTGTGTGTGTGTGTGTGTGTGTGTGTGTGTGTGTGTGTGTGTGTGTGTGTGTGTGTGTGTGTGTGTGTGTGTGTGTGTGTGTGTGTGTGTGTGTGTGTGTGTGTGTGTGTGTGTGTGTGTGTGTGTGTGTGTGTGTGTGTGTGTGTGTGTGTGTGTGTTTCATGTGTAGTGCACCACAGGGGCTGGCATTGTATGTTTTTCCTCCATGCCTAGTCTGTTTTTAGTTGTTTGCTGTGTAGTCCCCAATCATATTTGAACAGCTGCACTCAGAAATAAAAAAAAACAATGGCCTTCTCCACTGAGAAACTGTGTCTGTCCATCCGAGTGCATTAGATCAGATTATTCCTGAAAACATTTAGTAAACACTGGCATGAACCATTAGCATCAACCCAAATTGTAACCTTTTCCAAATGTTCTTATATCCAATATGCTGGTTATATAATTGATTAATTATGTTCCAGTGCAATAATAAAATGTTACCAAAACACATTCAGAAGATGGTTCATCCACAGGTTGATGCTGTCTTACCTAAATGGTTTCATCTCCTTATGTCTTAGTTTGACACATTGTGTAGGCGTTTGCTAATTTGAGAATACCTCTTTATTCTACTCTGTGATACCTTTACTGAACCTTTAAATATGTTTAACCGGACAATGTACTTGAATTGTAGTAACTGTCATAACGTAAACCTTTGAGACATCTTGACAATGTGTACACAATTAATGATTCATGGCGCTAGAGGCCTACTATAGGGCAGAACAAGCTATATGTGTGTCATCCAGGTGTGTTGTCTGGTAGCAGTTACAGAGTGTACTTGTTTACTAGCGTGGCAGTATAGACATAAATTAAACAGGCTGTGTGGTGGTGAGGGTGTGGGTTTGTACTCTTCACCAATCCACTGCATGTGTTCTTTTGCGTATAGCTGTGTAGTTAGCGTCAGTAAATGCAAGTCCAGCTGTGGTGCTGGTGTCATGGGCGGCAAGAGCAGCCTATGCCGGTGTAGCACACTGATTTTAGCACAGCTGTGGCAGTGTAGCGCTCTTTGTCGGCACAGAGGGTCGGCCTTTTAGCTTTTAACTTGGCTCCATCGTTCACGGAGAAGGCGGGGGCGCGGCTAGATGCTCCTAGCTATGCAACCATCGAAGTCCAACGGATGATAGACTTTTGAGCGCAGGTCTACAAATGTTCTCAGAAGGAAAGTTGTTTTGGGGCTGAGCAGTGGGCGCTCCTAATTTTTTCCCTTTCCTAGACGCGGGCTGTCAAGTGCGGCTACGTTCAGGACCAATCTGACTCGAGCTGATATGAAAGACATCTGAGTTAGGCTTTCGAGTGGAGCCATTTCCACTTCAGCTGCCCTTACAAGATCACACACTTCCAAAGGAAACACTGCATTATGGGATGAAAGGGTCATGTGTGCTGAGTGAAGATGTTTTGAAAGAAACTAGACTGCAAGCGGTTGGTTTCCAAATCTATGCACAGCAGCATTTCCTGCCCCCGTACATGGTATGGGTCGATCAAAGGGTACCTAAAGCGACTTTAGTCTGTACTGTGTAACTGTCAAGCTTAAGAACTCAGTGACATAGAACCTTTAGGCACATAATGTAC